AAATATGTTGACCAGACCATACACTAGAAAGTGAAGGGACGACGACGTTTCGGTCCGTCCTGGACCATTGTTAAGTCGATATATATATGTTTAATAAATGTAACCAAAGCCGTCAAATATTGAGGAAAGATGTTCACGTTCGTAAGTGCTTGCGTAACTGCTTCGTGAATCTGGCCCAAGGTTTTGAACACACACTACGGTAAACCACAGTTTACTGGGTCCCATCGTATAGATACATCTTCCTGCGTGATGTTAGCCACGAAAGATGCCAGCAAGGGTTCGATACCCTCACTGCGTGTCATGCCCCAATATGTGCAAGGCTTGAATACTGGTTTTTAGAGGTTATCTTGAGGTTATCTTGAGATGAATTCGGGGCTTTAGTGTCCCCGCGGCCCGGTCCTCGACCAGGCCTCCACCCCCAGGAAGCAGCCCGTGACAGCTGACTAACACCCAGGTACCTATTTTACTGCTAGGTAACAGGGGCATAGGGTGAAAGAAACTCTGCCCATTGTTTCTCGCCGGCGCCTGGGATCGAACCCAGGACCACAGGATCACAAGTCCAGCGTGCTGTCCGCTCGGCCGACCGGCTCCCTTCGAGGTCGTTGCAGACTGTATTTTGCAACTTGCAATGTGGCTATTAGTCTCATTTAGCAACAAATAGTTCCGCCGTGGACATTGATCAACCCGTTCTCGCAAATTTAATAAGTCAATATTGACTTATTAGTTACGTGCATAGGTGACATACTAAACATAATAGTTTCCCTTGAAAAGCTTCATAGAAAACACCGACCTTACCTAACCTACTTAGTATGTTAAAATAAGCATCTTATAGCTTCGTAATTACAATTGTTACTTAACCTATTATAGGTATAGGTTAGGTAATAATTGTAATTACGAAGCAATAAGATGCTTATCTTAACATACTAAGTAGGTTAGGTAAGGTCGGTGTTTTCTATGAAGCTTTTCAAGGGAAACTATTATGTTAAGTATGTCACCTATGCACATATTTAATAAGTCAATATTGACTTATTAAATTTGCGAGAACGGGTTGCATTGATAACTGGCTGCCGTGTCTCTGCTTCAAGTGGCAATATAATATGAGGAGGCAACAGCGTGGTTCAGGATCCATTAGTGTCAATTATGGCCGGCTTTGGGTGAATATTTTTCATGGTAGAGACGAAGGTTCGAGCTGAAGCTACTTCTGATGCTGATTTTGCTATGTTATCTTCGTGTTGATGGTTTAGAAGCTGTGTACTACCAGAGGGGTGACTGAGGAGCTGGTCGACCGAGCGGACAGCACACTGGACTTGTGATCGTGTGGTCCTGGGTTCGATCCCAGGCACCGGCGAGAAACAATGGACAGAGTTTTGTTTCACCCTATGCCCCTGTTACCTAGCAGTAAAATAGGTACCTGGGTGTAAGTCAGCTGTCACGGGCTGCTTCCTGGAGGTGGAGCCCTGGTCGAGGACCGGGCCGCGGGGACACTAAAAAGCCCCGAAATCATCTCAAGATAACCTCAAGATAACCACCCTATGCCCCTGTTACCTAGCAGTAAAATAGGTACCTGGGTGTTAGTCAGCTGTCACGGGCTGCTTCCTGGGGGTGGAGGCCTGGTCGAGGACCGGGCCGCGGGGACACTAAAAAGCCCCGAAATCATCTCAAGATAACCTCAAGATAACCACCCTATGCCCCTGTTACCTAGCAGTAAAATAGGTACCTGGGTGTTAGTCAGCTGTCACGGGCTGCTTCCTGGAGGTGGAGCCCTGGTCGAGGACCGGGCCGCGGGGACACTAAAGCCCCGAAATCATCTCAAGATAACCTCAAGAAGAACAACTGGGGTTCAAGGTCTAGGAAGATATTTGTTGTGGGTTTATTGGTGTGTTGTGTTAGCAAGGGTTGTGGAGGAGTAGGTGACTGAGGGAGGGTTGTGGGGGGTTAATTATTGGGTTAGGTTTCGACCGGTGTAGGGGGGTTGGCCCGTGGGGTAGAGAGAGCCAGATAGCTGGACCCACATAGTCTCTTCTCACTGCCTGTGACTGAACTTGTGGGATCTGTGTCTTATTGGATCTGAACCTCCTTCACGGCTCAGGGCAGGGGGGTGAGTTTACAGCCCTCCACGATGTTTCCTATGACCTCAAGGCTCTTTAGGTTAGTTGGTCCAGGTGTGTATATACCTGATAGCAACAGTCGAGTTGATCAAACGAAACCTCTTGAAAGAGATGAATGTTGTCTATGTCTATACCTGGGACATGTGAAGGCATGTGAGACATTGTTAGTCCTAATGATTTCAATATATAGGCAAGACAACAACATCCCTTTCAAAGCTGCTAACAATGCACAAAGTCCCATCAAGGAACACACACACACACACACACACACACACACACACACACACACACACACACACACACACACACACACACACACATATATATATATATATATATATATATATATATATATATATATATATATATATATATATATATATATATATACACACATTTAAATAAAAGTAACAACCGAGCTACACTTTCTGACGTGTCTAAGACCCTTCTATCCTCCCCAATTGCTACGGTAAAGTAACTTATAACCTCTACTTTAGTAACTTATAACCTCTACTTTCATTGCTAACGGCAATATATGGGCAAAAAGTGTTCACTGGTATATCATATATCAGAGCAGAGGTGCGGCGGGCTGGTGTTATACACCTCAGTGATATCAGGTATCAGAGGGAGTTCCTTATACCACTGGTTTCATGTGGTGAGATATCGGAGGAAAGTAGGGAACATGTGTAGACGTTTAAATGAGGAGTTTTAAGTACAATTCCACAAGGGCCGTGATGAGGGTTCGAACTTGCGTCTGAGAGGATCCCAGGCACGCCTTGATCGACTGAGCCACTACAGTCTTTGTGGATTTGTTCATTTGATTCATTACGCTATTGTGATTTCTGTGTGTAGTGAGGAGTCTGAGTGAAAGATACATAATCTTGTAGATAAGTATGTGTAGCCATTCCTACGTTTATATACATGTATATATGTATACAGTCATGTATATGTATGTAGCACTGATTAAAAATACTTAATGGTACAAGTTGTAATGGGGTCTATATTTTCCCCATTTGACTTGAACCTATTACAAGGTCTGGTGTGTGTGTGTGTGTGTGTGTGTGTGTGTGTGTGTGTGTGTGTGTGTGTGTGTGTGTGTGTGTGTGTGTGTGTGTGTGTGTGTGTGTGTGCACTTTCCATCACACTCCGGACGGGAATCCACACACACAGACAGGTAAACACACAGACAGATACACACACACAGGTACACACACACACAGGTAAACACACACACAGGCACACACACACAGGTACACACACACAGGTACACACACACACAGGTACACACACACAGGCACACACACACACAGGTAAACACACACACATACACCCACCTACCACCGTACATAAATAACAAGGCACGAGAGTGACAAACTACCCATTAGAAATTATTATCTCAGAGAATTATTAGGAATTATTACCCGCAGAGAGAGACTTATAGAGGCGGGGGAATGTATAGATTATTGACAGGAGGGGGGTTTGTAGGTAAGGGGGTAGGGAGGTGGTAGAGTTAGGGAAGGGATTAAAGGCAGGGAGAGGGACAAAACTAAGGTAAGAGGACAATATGAAACAGTATTTCACAGAACTTGCGTGTGGGAACATATGACAGCCCCTTTGACACACTGTCATCTGTCACGGTGTCACGTACTGTCAATCCTGGACAAAACTTAGGCACCGTCAGCCCTGGACAAATGCTAAGTAGTGCCAACCTTTGGACAAATGACCAGCAGTGTTTAGCATAAGACACTGTGTGTGTGTCTAAGCCCTGGACAAATGCTAAGTAGTGCCAACCTTTGGACAAATGACCAGCAGTGTTTAGCATAAGACACTGTGTGTGTGTCTAAGCCCTGGACAAATGCTAAGTAGTGCCAACCTTTGGACAAATGATCAGCAGTGTTTACCATAAGACACTGTGTGTGTGTCTAAGCCCTGGACAAATGCTAAGTAGTGTCAGCCTTTGGACAAATGATCAGCAGTGTTTACCATAAGACACTGTGTGTGTGTCTAAGCCCTGGACAAATGCTAAGTAGTGCCAACCTTTGGACAAATGATCAGCAGTGTTTACCATAAGACACTGTGTGTGTGTCTAAGCCCTGGACAAATGCTAAGTAGTGCCAACCTTTGGACAAATGATCAGCAGTGTTTACCATAAGACACTGTGTGTGTGTCTAAGCCCTGGACAAATGCTAAGTAGTGTCAGCCTTTGGACAAATGACCAGGAGTGTTTACCATAAGACAAGGGTTAGATATACTGTCCAGTCCTGGACAGATATCAAGTACTTGTAGAAACAAACAAGAACAGGTGCAAATAAACAAATACTCCAGTTGATTGACAGCTGAGAGGCGGGACCAAAGAGCCAGAGCTCAATCCCCGCAAACACAACTAGGTGAAGGAAGGAAGGAATTATCAAGGGAAAGCACCAAGCCATTACGACTATATAGCACTGGGAAGGGGTCAGGATAAGGATTTGGGATGGGACAGGGGGAAGGAATGGTGCCCCAACCACTTGTATAGTCGGGGATTGAACGCCGATCTGCATCAAGCGAGACCGTCGCTCTACCGTCCATCTCTACATCTTACATTCCTGAGAATGACAAATTACTCTCACGTAGTTCTGAAGGTGATTTAATTATATATATTAATCATGGTCGCTTCAACAGACCGATCAATGGAGTCATATAATCGCTATATTAAGTTTGTCTTAACCAGCCTTCTCCCCAATAAGAAAAATCAAATCGGAGGGGAATAGGCTGTGGCTTAAACACTGAGCATATCTCAAGAGAGTTCGACACACATAGTTTATCTCATATCCCTTCTTCAGGTAATCTGAACACGAAATCTTTTCTTATCACAGACGTTTGTGCGCTTTAAGGTGACCAGTTGCTTCCACAATGCTCCGACACATCCCAGAACGTGTTACAATGCTCCGACACATCCCAGAACGTGTCACAATGCTCCGACACATCCCAGAACGTGTCACAATGCTCCGACACATCCCAGAACGTGTCACAATGCTCCGACACATCCCAGAACGTGTCACAATGCTCCGACACATCCCAGAACGTGTCACAATGCTCCGACACATCCCAGAACGTGTCACAATGCTCCGACACATCCCAGAACGTGTCACAATGCTTCGACACATCCCAGAACGTGTCACAATGCTCCGACACATCCCAGAACGTGTCACAATGCTCCGACACATCCCAGAACGTGTCACAATGCTCCGACACATCCCAGAACGTGTCACAATGCTCCGACACATCCCAGAACGTGTCACAATGCTCCGACACATCCCAGAACGTGTTACAATGCTCCGACACATCCCAGAACGTGTCACAATGCTCCGACACATCCCAGAACGTGTCACAATGCTCCGACACATCCCAGAACGTGTCACAATGCTCCGACACATCCCAGAACGTGTCACAATGCTCCGACACATCCCAGAACGTGTCACAATGCTCCGACACATCCCAGAACGTGTCACAATGCTCCGACACATCCCAGAACGTGTCACAATGCTCCGACACATCCCAGAACGTGTCACAATGCTCCGACACATCCCAGAACGTGTTACAATGCTCCGACACATCCCAGAACGTGTCACAATGCTCCGACACATCCCAGAACGTGTCACAATGCTCCGACACATCCCAGAACGTGTCACAATGCTCCGACACATCCCAGAACGTGTCACAATGCTCCGACACATCCCAGAACGTGTCACAATGCTCCGACACATCCCAGAACGTGTTACAATGCTCCGACACATCCCAGAACGTGTCACAATGCTCCGACACATCCCAGAACGTGTCACAATGCTCCGACACATCCCAGAACGTGTTACAATGCTCCGACACATCCCAGAACGTGTCACAATGCTCCGACACATCCCAGAACGTGTCACAATGCTCCGACACATCCCAGAACGTGTCACAATGCTCCGACACATCCTAGAACGTGTCACAATGCTCCGACACATCCCAGAACGTGTCACAATGCTCCGACACATCCCAGAACGTGTTACAATGCTCCGACACATCCCAGAACGTGTCACAATGCTCCGACACATCCCAGAACGTGTTACAATACTCCGACACATCCCAGAACGTGTCACAATGCTCCGACACATCCCAGAACGTGTTACAATGCTCCGACACATCCCAGTTACAAAAACAAATCCACGATAACAAAAACAGTTACAAAAAATGAGATATATAATATGCTATCAACAGACATACACAAAAGCACTCAGATAAAAGGATGATTACAAAAAGTAGCATAATAACAAAATACAACAATCTCCTATTTACAAATGGGAATACAATAGAGATTAAGGTGTCAGCAGCTGCCACAACAGTCAGATGGGTCAATGGGTTGCGATAAATGGGGGAATTGGCCGATTAGAGTGGTGATAACCCCCATGATTGATCAATGGTCAAAACTCTCGATTGATCAATGTTGATCAACGAAGAAGGGAGTAGGAGAAGGAGGTGGAAAAGGAGGAGATTAATAGGAATGTGAATAAAATATGCCTGGTAACATTAAACAAGTACAAGTGTGATAGGGAGAGACACTCTACCCTCTCCAAGGTAGCAGAGAGAGAGAGAGAGAGAGAGAGAGAGAGAGAGAGAGAGAGAGAGAGAGAGAGAGAGAGAGAGAGAGAGAGAGAGAGAGAGAGAGAGAGAGAGAGAGAGAGAGAGAGAGAGAGAGAGAGAGAGAGAGAGAGAGAGAGAGAGAGAGAGACAGAAAACAGTCTATCATACCTAAAGTGCAGCATGCAGATCACCTGACCAATTAGGACAATAGACTGTTGTATTGACAACCACAGACTCGTCATGTGTTGAAAGTAGCAGAATGGACAGTGGCAACATGGACAGTAGCAGCATGGACAGTGGCAACATGGACAGTAGCAGCATGGACAGTAGCAACATGGACAGTAGCAACATGGACAGTAGCAACATGGACAGTAGCAACATGGACAGTAGCAACATGGACAGTAGCAACATGGACAGTAGCAACATGAACAGTAGCAACATGGACAGTAGCAGCATGGACAGTGGCAACATGGACAGTAGCAGCATGGACAGTAGCAACATGGACAGTAGCAACATGGACAGTAGCAACATGGACAGTAGCAACATAGTAGCAACATGAACAGTAGCAACATGGACAGTAGCAGCATGGACAGTGGCAACATGGACAGTAGCAACATGGACAGTGGCAACATGGACAGTAGCAGCATGGACAGTAGCAACATGGACAGTAGCAACATGGACAGTAGCAACATGGACAGTAGCAACATGGACAGTAGCAACATAGTAGCAACATGAACAGTAGCAACATGGACAGTAGCAGCATGGACAGTGGCAACATGGACAGTAGCAACATGGACAGTAGCAACATGGACAGTAGCAGCATGGACAGTGGCAACATGGACAGTAGCAACATAGTAGCAACATGGACAGTAGCAACATGGACAGTAGCAGCATGGACAGTGGCAACATGGACAGTAGCAACATGGACAGTAGCAACATGGACAGTAGCAACATGGACAGTAGCAACATGGACAGTAGCAACATGGACAGTAGCAACATAGTAGCAACATGGACAGCATAAAAGAGGGGAAGGGGTCATACACACACCCCCTAAACCACCTCACTTGTGCTCATAATATCTTACTCCCAGATGGGTAAATGGGTAGGGGAAATGGACTGGGAGGGATAGGGAAGGGAAATGGACCAGGGATGGGAAAAAGGGAAAGGGGAATGAACTGGGGGAAGAGGGGAATGAGGGAGAAAATCATGAGCATGAAATTCCCTTTCTTCTCAAAATTTAATTTTCCCTCTAAATATATACCAAATATACAGAAAAAGAAATGAGTTCCAGAGGCCTCAGGTGCATAGATTCCTGTCTCACGCCTTCGTCTGTCTGTCTGTCTGTCTGTCTGTCTGTCTGTCTGTCTGTCTGTCTGTCTGTCTGTCTGTCTGTCTGTCTGTCTGTCTGTCTGTCTATCTATATGTCTATCTGTGTTCGTATTCCCGCTTTTAACTATCGAACGACTCATGATACGTAAACGAGAGACCTTCGTAATACTCTAGGTGTTTTGGGGTCATCACTAGAGGAGGTTATATTGATTATTTGAGATATTTGGTTAAAGGTCAATATTTGGACGTTGGTCGATGTCTCATCTTCCTTTGCTAGGTCAGAGGTCAAGGCTATATTATCCACAAATGGCATCCAATCAGAGGGCTTCCAATCATTCAATTTAGGAAAAAAATATATATTTTGTTGTATATATGTACTGGCCCTAACGTGGAATTATTTGGGTATTTTTATTCTATTTTTTTATTTATTTTTATGTTATTTATCTATGTATTCTCTGTCCCTATTTCTATTTTTATTGTTGTATGTGTGTGTCTGTATGTTTCAATTTTTTGGGGGTAAATATATTTTTTCATTTATGGATCTTTTCTTCCCCCTCTCCTTCCCTCCCCCCTATTCCCCCAAATCGCTTCCCCTACCCATCACTCTACCTCCCTCCCTCATAGCCCCATGGCTATCATACCCCCCCTTCCCCCATTTCCTGGCATAAACTGTAATATAAGAGATAAGTCACTTCCAAACTCACTACTTCCGCTAATAAAGCTATAATCGCTAATTGGTTGTAAATAGGGGGACACACGCCCCCCTTAATGGGGCTACCTGGAGGGGGGGCGGGGGTGAACAGGTGCTCAGGTACACCCTGATGGGTACGATTGATCACCTGAGGGTTCAGACAGGTGAGAGAGGTACATGGACAGTAGCAACGATTGATCACCTGAGGGCAACATAGACAGTCAGACAGGCAACATGGACAGTAGCATCAGGGACAGTAGCAACATGGACAGTAGCAACATGGACAGTAGCATCAGGGACAGTAGCAACATAGACAGTAGCAACATGGACAGTAGCAACATGGACAGTAGCATCAGGGACAGTAGCAACATAGACAGTAGCAACATGGACAGTAGCAACATGGACAGTAGCAACATAGACAGTAGCAACATGGACAGTAGCAGACATAGCAACATGGACAGTAGCAACATGGACAGTAGCAACATAGCAACATAGACAGTAGCAACATGGACAGTAGCAACATGGACAGTAGCAACATGGACATGGACAGCAACATGGACAGTAGCAACATGGACAGTAGCAACATAGACAGTAGCAACATGGACAGTGGCAACATAGACAGTAGCAACATGGACAGTAGCAACATAGACAGTAGCAACATGGACAGTAGCAACATGGACAGTAGCATCAGGGACAGTAGCAACATAGACAGTAGCAACATGGACAGTAGCAACATGGACAGTAGCAACATAGACAGTAGCAACATGGACAGTAGCAACATAGACAGTAGCAACATGGACAGTAGCAACATGGACAGTAGCAACATGGACAGTAGCATCAGGGACAGTAGCAACATGGACAGTAGCAACATGGACAGTAGCAACATGGACAGTAGCAACATAGACAGTGGCAACATGGACAGTAGCAACATGGACAGTAGCAACATGGACAGTAGCAACATAGACAGTAGACAGTAGCAACATAGACAGTAGCAACATGGACAGTAGCAACATGGACAGTAGCAACATGGACAGTAGCAACATAGACAGTGGCAACATGGACAGTAGCAACATGGACAGTAGCAACATGGACAGTAGCAACATGGACAGTAGCAACATGGACAGTAGCAACATGGACAGTAGCAACATGGACAGTAGCAACATGGACAGTAGCAACATGGACAGTAGCAACATGGACAGTAGCAACATGGACAGTAGCAACATGGACAGTAGCAACATGGACAGTAGCAACATGGACAGTAGCAACATGGACAGTAGCAACATGGACAGTAGCAACATGGACAGTAGCAACATGGACAGTAGCAACATGGACAGTAGCAACAGACAGTAGCAACATGGACAGTAGCAACATGGACAGCAACATGGACAGTAGCAACATGGACAGTAGCAACATAGACAGTGGCAACATGGACAGTAGCAACATGGACAGTAGCAACATGGACAGTAGCAACATGGACAGTAGCAACATGGACAGTAGCAACATGGACAGTAGCAACATAGACAGTAGCAACATGGACAGTAGCAACATAGACAGTAGCAACATGGACAGTAGCAACATGGACAGTAGCAACATGGACAGTAGCAACATGGACAGTAGCAACATGGACAGTAGCAACATGGACAGTAGCAACATGGACAGTAGCAACATGGACAGTAGCAACATGGACAGTAGCAACATGGACAGTAGCAACATAGACAGTAGCAACATGGACAGTAGCAACATGGACAGTAGCAACATGGACAGTAGCAACATGGACAGTAGCAACATGGACAGTAGCAACATGGACAGTAGCAACATGGACAGTAGCAACATGGACAGTAGCAACATGGACAGTAGCAACATGGACAGTAGCAACATAGACAGTAGCAACATAGACAGTAGCAACATAGACAGTAGCAACATGGACAGTAGCAACATGGACAGTAGCAACATGGACAGTAGCAACATGGACAGTAGCAACATGGACAGTAGCAACATGGACAGTAGCAACATGGACAGTAGCAACATAGACAGTGGCAACATGGACAGTAGCAACATAGACAGTAGCAACATAGACAGTAGCAACGTGGACAGTAGCAACATGGACAGTAGCAACATGGACAGTAGCAACATGGACAGTAGCAACATAGACAGTAGCAACATGGACAGTAGCAACATAGACAGTAGCAACATGGACAGTAGCAACATGGACAGTAGCAACATGGACAGTAGCAACATGGACAGTAGCAACATGGACAGTAGCAACATGGACAGTAGCAACATGGACAGTAGCAACATAGACAGTAGCAACATGGACAGTAGCAACATGGACAGTAGCAACATGGACAGTAGCAACATGGACAGTAGCAACATGGACAGTAGCAACATGGACAGTAGCAACATGGACAGTAGCAACATAGACAGTAGCAACATAGACAGTAGCAACATAGACAGTAGCAACATGGACAGTAGCAACATGGACAGTAGCAACATAGACAGTAGCAACATAGACAGTAGCAACATGGACAGTAGCAACATGGACAGTAGCAACATGGACAGTGGCAGGGACTATAAGGGACTGTGGCAGGGAGGCAGTTGTATATTGACCTTATATTAAATTTATCGTGTACTTCACCAATGCTTAGTCGCGCGCTCTGTTCGTTCACTGTACGTTCACTGCTGTTCCATCCTCGTGTACACGTTCACTGTGTACGTTCACTGTACGTTCACTGCTGGTCCATCCTCGTGTACACGTTCACTGCTGTTCCATCCTCGTGTACACGTTCACTGTGTACGTTCACTGTACGTTCACTGCTGTTCCATCCTCGTGTACACGTTCACTGTGTACGTTCACTGTACGTTCACTGCTGTTCCATCCTCGTGTACACGTTCACTGTGTACCCTTGTGTATGCTGGCTAGGTCGGGTCTCATTACATTCGGTTACGTTAACACGGCCTACTATTGCCGATAATGTGACATGGTATTCGAAAACTATTTGAGTGTACCCAAGAATTCCGTTTACAGGAAACCAAATTCATCAAAAATTCATAGTATATACTTTTATATTTTAAACCAACGATTTATAATAGAATAAAGTTATAACAGGAGAATAATCTCTCTTTAGAACAAAGTTTTCCTTGCCACTTTACATTCAGACTATTACTGGAACCGTAATATGCTTTCAGACCATCACAAATATCTAGATATTTGTGATAGATATCTAGATATCTAAGGGGGGGGGGTCTCGTAGTTATGGATTTGCTCTGAGGATGGGCTCAGGGTTCACATAATAATCTAACTGCTGCACATTCACTAACCACACACACACACACACACACACACACACACACACACACACACACGATTTTAGTGTCCGAGTGAATACAGTTGAGAGGCGGGACCAAAGAGCCAGAGCTCAACCCCCGCAAGCACAACTAGGTAAGTGCACACACACACATACCACTTCATGGCCCTGAGTGGCCTCCAACGACCATTGACAAGGTCTAGTCAAACAAGCCATTGTCCACCCATTACCAAGTTCAATTACCCTATTCCGTAGTTAATATCCTAATCATCCGAGGTCGTGGCCACCTAATACATCGCTTGTCTCATACGGATGTTAATCAACTAATTATGCGTATTAGAGACCATTGTTGTTGTTAATGATTCGCTACTGGGAACATAAAGTTCCAAGTAGCACCGGCTATGATGAACCCGTAGATATTAGAGACCATTAAAGCACCGTTATATTGACGATTTTGTGTATAGATCGATAGGTTAAGTGGGATGTTTGGGTTGGTGTGTTGTGGTTAATACAGGAGT